ACCGATGGTCAGAGACGGCAAAGTTGTTTATGAAGATTCGCCGCTCGTGCAAGCGGTTAAACTAGGCCACGTTCTCGTCATCGACGAGGCGGACAAAGCACCCACGCACGTGACATGTATATTGAAAGTATGTACCTGACGATACATATGTAAAGTTACAATAGCGTCAATATGCGCTCTATGAATTTCGAGACAATTCTATTTCATTTTCAGACCTTGGTGGAATCGGGCGAAATGATTCTGTCGGACGGTAGACGAATTGTTCCTCGTACCAATGACAATGCGCGCGATACAAACAGTATACCTATGCATCCGGACTTTAGAATAATAGTACTGGCAAACAGACCGGGCTTCCCGTTCTTGGGCAACGATTTCTTCGGCGCTTTGGGTGATCTATTCAGCACGCATTCTGTTGATAATCCGAATATACGAAGCGAGATTCAGCTCTTGAGACAATATGGACCGCATGTAAATGAACAGACGATACATAAACTAGTGAAGGCTTTCGGCGAGTTGAGAAATATGGCCGATCAAGGTCTAGTTTCGTATCCTTATTCGACTCGAGAAGTGGTTAATATAGTTAAACATCTAGAGGTGAGTGAACAAAATTTTTTCAAGAGAATATATATATGCATTTTAATATTCATCGATGTAATTGCTTCCGCAATGATGTTGTAGAAATTTCCGAATGAATCGTTAGCTACTGTAGTGCGCAACGTTTTTGATTTTGATCGATATAGCCAGGAAGTGTTTGATACTTTGGTAACTGTACTTCATAAACATGGGATTCCCGTTGGAACGAGTCCAACTAATGTTGCCTTAGCTAAAGAGTAAGATAATCTTTACATATAGATGTTTTTAAGTTTTTAAACAATTACACATTAATTAAATAAACAAGAGGGCAGATGGGAGGATATAATTATTGAATTAATTATAATTTTGTAATTTATTTTTTATTTTATGATATGAAGTAAAGTGGTTGTACAAATTTATACTTAATAAATGAAAATGCGAAAAAAATATATGAAAATATGAGAAAAATATAAAAGATATAAGAAATGTCAATTTTTTTTTAAAACAATATTCTTCCCTCTTTTCCATTGTAGAATATCTTTACCTGAGATGAAGATCTGTGGTAGTTGGAACATTTCGAACACGTTTCAAAATATACCTGCTCAGGAAAGATATGTTAAATTAAAATTGCCAACATTTCCGGCGCAAAACGATCGAACTTTAGACCGAGTTGAAGCCAGATCGGCTTGGTTCACAGAACTACAAAGTTACTGGACAATACCTATTAGCGAGAATAGTACAGTGACCGCTTTAGCGGTTGCGAACGGAAGTAAAGGAGATGGTACGGACGACAGAATACACGTTCTCACGACGAATCCTTTGAGTATATTTAGCATGACGCTGGAATCGGAGCAAATTCGCGAGACATCATTACAAGGCTTGATAAGCCCCGCTAGAGGCAATTTGCCGTTTTATAATGTCGCGGTTGATAATCTTGGGGATGTTTTAGTGCATGAAGAAACTGTAAGTAATATGTTTACAAATGTAAAAATGATGTATCGTAGGGTCTTTTCATCGACTTTTGTGTAATTATTTTTAGAGTAATTCCATGCTCATGGTAAACGTAAACGAGGGTTCCGTACGAGAATTACAAATTTCATCCTTTTTGGATGCCGCCAGCGATAAATTATCAAACGCTTTTAGAAGTAAGACTCCTCAGTGGAAGATGAAGGCAGATTTATTGCCGTCACATAATTTGATTGTCTTATATACACAAAATCATAACAAAATCGAAGCTGTCAATTTACAGAACATGTGTGCTTACTCAATGAATTTACCGTGTCAGATCGAATCGATCTTACTCGCATCCGATAGAAAATGGTTAATTCAGGATACATCGAAGAATAAATATATTCTCATGAAATCCACGGATTCGGATCCATGCCCTAATATCTTGCATGAATTGAACGAGTCCAATAGCACCGATCTTAAGACTAGTAGCGTTTTGAATTGCGGTAGAAGCAGTCTGCACAAAACGGAATTGAGCAAAGCTCTTCAACAAAAGATAGACTCTCCGAACAGACTATTAGTGACCGATAATACGTACGCTGGCATTGTGATAGGTTTCCCGGATTTGGACAGTTCCAACGACCTACATTTCTGGCCGAGAAAGGAAAGAATACGTAGCTTCATGACACCTATCATTACACAAAACGGACAAGTGATCAGAACGATTTCACCCAGTCAGGTACCTGATGAAGTTTATCCGAAGGATAAAAAACATGCAGGAATCTCCGCTTATTTAGAGATAGTTGATACAGTAAATCACAAACTACGATATTTACCTATTCCGGAGTAAGTAAATTTGCGATAAGCACGAAAATTGTGCTAACAAAAATACAAATTTTTACAAAGCTTATATTTTCCAACTTTTACGTTTTACGTTGAAAAAAAATAATGTATAAATATAGTACAGAGTATATCTCCCCCCTCGTGCTATTTTTGTACATATCTGTTTCCGATTAAACGCGACTGAGAAAATCATTAAATCTTTTACTAGACCAGTTAATGTCTCGCCATTGACACAATGGCTATATACGAAGGACCTTCCGCTTTATGCGTCACTTACATCGAACGAAGGTCTCGTCACAATAGATGCCGGTGGCTGCGTACGCTTATGGGAGACATCAATCACGAATATAGAAAAGTCATTGGGCGCTTGGCGCAAAATGATAAGCACCGACGAGGATAAAATGCAAATTACCAAAGAAAGATATTCGGGGCAGGATGTCACCGCACCGAAACATGGCAAGGTTGATAAAAATAATGAACCACACGTGGGTGGCAATACCTGGGCCGGGGGAACCGGAGGTGCACATACAAATATCTAAATAAAAATAAGATAAAGCTTAAAAAGAAATTATATCTGTATCAAGTATCATTCTAGAGTGCAGCTGTGTTGCAGAATAAAATATAGAACGTATATACATTAATTCATATTTTTTATACAGGTCGCGATACGGCGGGTTTAGGCGGAAAGGGAGGACCGTATCGGCTGGATGCTGGACACACGGTGCATCAGCTTAGCGATGAAGAGAAGAATGCGGTGCCGGAACATATAAAGAAGGCTGCTCGCGAAATGGGCCTTCGCGCGTTTAAGCAGCGGCTCAAGGATATAAAAATGAGCGAATACGACCATAAACTATACAGTCAATTTAGCGATGCTGTTCGTAATCAAGTGCAGGCCTTGAGAGTCGTATTAGGTGAGCGTCGTGAATCCGCGGACTTTTAATTCGGATCGCATTCATTATTCTTTACCGTACATGTTCTTCATTTACAGGCACGTTGCAGGCCAAGAGCAATGAACGACAATGGTTCAGGCATCAGACGTCGGGTGAACTGGACGATACGAAATTAATCGAGGGATTAACGGGCGAGAGAACAATTTATCGGCGGAGAGCGGAGAAAGAGCCGGAGGTTGGCGCTCCTCAATTGAAACCGAAGCGACTGAAACTTGTCGCGGACGTGTCCGGTAGCATGTATAGGTTCAATAGTTACGACGGTCGACTGGATCGCGAATTAGAAGCCTGCGTCATGGTAATGGAAGCTTTCAGCGGCTACGAGGGAAAATTTCAATACGACATCGTTGGCCATTCCGGCGACGATTATCGTATTGCCTTTGTCGATCGGACGCAACCACCAACGGATAATAAACGAAGGCTGGAAGTGATTAAGGTAAGATTCATTTATATCGTTTTTCTTTATAAAATTGCGCAATTTAATTAATTTGGGTTTCAATTAATTTCTTTAGATGATGCACGCTCACTCGCAATTTTGCATGTCTGGAGATAATACCTTGGAAGCGACGCAACACGCAATTGCGAGTTTGGCGAAAGAAGATTCCGACGAGTCTATTGTAGTTGTTCTTTCGGATGCGAATCTCGAACGCTATGGGATTCGTCCCGAACGATTCGCGAAAGTATTGATGTCTAACGCAGACGTAAATTCCTATGCTATCTTCATCGGATCATTGGGCGATCAAGCAAACAGGTGATTCTACAATAATATAATCTCTTTCTATCGTTGTTTCATCATTTATTCTCTTCCATATTCTTAATACGATCGATACTCTAATTAAGATATTTATACTATTTTTAGATTAATGAAAAAGATGCCTTCTGGTCGCGCATTTGTGTGCATGGATCTTAAAAATATACCACGAATTTTACAACAAATATTTGCCGCTTCGGTTTTAAGTACGCGATCAACTTAACGCTCAATTATAATTAGTTGGAATAATTTATAGGAATATAAGGCGCAAATGTATTTCTATAGAATTAGCAACATAGGATTAATGAATAACTTTTTTGGGATACATATTTTTACATAGCACACAATCATGTTTATATAATTAATATAATCATGTTTATATAATTATAAATTTCTGTAAATAAAAAATTTCTAATTTTAGATATATTTACAAATCACACAAACACATAGCTTTAGTATAAGTAGACTCGGGAGTCATTAAAAAGAAGATATATACAATAATAATAATGGCACTTTTGTCTCAATAATTGACATACTACATTACTAAGATCTTTCTAGTCTTCAAGCTTCAAGAAGATAAACACAAATTAGAGCATCTTAATCCGCACGTATATCAAAGCGTTATCTCGCGCGAGGTCTCGCCAAGAAGTCAGCTGTGACCTTTCACTCCGGGTAAACGCCCGGATTTGTTCGCTTATGAAAGGAAGGGAACGAACGTCGGCCGTGGGGAGGCGGCAGCATGGACCGGCGCGCGTCTCGACATTTCGGTCCGTCGCCCGAAAGGGGGATTTCATCCCCCGGAGAGCGACAGGAAGCCGAGAGCAACCGAGGCCGCGCGGAGAAGATCGAAGCGGTTTCCGCGTGCGCGCGCGCGCGCGCGCGCGGGTGACGGTCGCGTGGGGGGGGTGGCCGATTGTCAGTCGCACGCCGGTCGTTGAATGGAGCGGGTGTGGAGACGCGTACAGGGTGCCGGGCGTCGCGGTGCCGCGGCCCGTTGCGGCTGTCCCGTGCAGCCGTGTCAGCTGCACGTGGACCAACGCGCGAAGCGCGGCGGCGGCGGCCGCAAATCCCGCGGCGGCGGGCCCCAGACCATCGTCTGCGGCTGCCAGGTACAGCCGTGTCCGGTGCATCCGGTGCTCATCAGGATCCGTCGTACGCGACCGGCCGCCGCTTCTGCCGCCGCGGCCGCGGCCGTCAGCTGCGACTGTCCGCCGGATTCGCAACCCTGTCCGCATCTACAGCGAGGATCGACCGCGCGAAGAATCAGAAGGTAAATATAAACGCGGTGTTATGTCAAATATCGAACATTCTGCACATTCTGTGGATGAAGACAGCGTGTTTATTGTTGTTGTTGGGGTAGGTTGCAGATTAGGGTAGGTAGGTGTGAGACTGCTGATTCGAGTATTGCTGTTTCGATTGCATAATGAGAAAGAGGTAATGTGATATGCTTTATCCGATCGACAGCATTTATTGGCCATTAAACAAATTATTGGGGCATCGTGGAATTAATCTTTTTCTTCAAAGCTTGATAAACTCTTTCGGAATTTTGGACTCTTTCGTTCGATCGATACGAGTAGGAATAACGAGCAACAGTTACGTCCATTCGGATGTGCTGTCATACAGGGTGTTACAAACTTGCCGTATCTTCTTCATTATCCTAGATTCTTTGCTTTGCGTCGCTTTCTATTGATAGCGTTCTTGTTTTATCGTTTAAGCATCGTTTAATTGATGGCGATAGTTCGCGGTCGATTACATAAAGCTTGACTGCGCGTTCTAGAAGATCACGGTTAAAGGGGTGGAAGGCATGATAAAGATTATGAGCCAACGTGTTGTTGATACTTGCTGCTGATCGTGAGCAGAATATGTTGTAGATGAATATATGTAGTTAGCGTAGTTAACTTGAACCTTCGCTGTTGCCCAAGGGTAGTATAACTTCTCGTTCTTAGGATAAATGAAGTGTATATATTGTCTGGATTAATATGGAGGAATCTTCCTGATAATAAAATGTGAAATTCAATGTTTTTATGTCGTCATAATAGAATATATTTTAATATCTAGTCAAAGAACTTAAGAATATTAATTTGCATGGCCTTTTATCATCGAAAAAAATGCTGAGATTGATTTATAAATACCACGTACTATTTGAATGAATGTACATAATCGTACATTTAATATACAATCACTTATATCATGAATATTTTATATAAACAATTTACTATTAAATTAATTTTATAAAATAAATTTTACTTCATTTTTCACGGTAATTTATCTCAATATGTATTATCACACAAAACGAAATATTTTCTATTGTGAATACAATTTATACTTATATTAATTTTAAAATATTAGCGTGTAAATAATAAACGAATATTTAAAACGTATACTTATATGTATATTTTTTTATTTAGCCTCAATACATGCATTAAAAAGACATACATTAATAGAGAAATACAGACATGCAAGAAATTATAAATATAGCATTATTGAGGCGAAAAATTGCTAAATTATTGAACCAATTTATAATAAAATCAATTCACTTGCGATGCAATTATCTACGTGCAGCTAAATTTAATCGCGATACAGTTGCTCGCTAACCATCTTGCGGTTCTCGTTTTCGGTCTGACCTGATTTTTCTTTCTATCTTTCCTTCTTGCGACCTCCGAACTGAATCCTACCATTCCATGATATCATTTTGCGATAATACGCTAAATGAAGTTTCCAATAGTCGATAGGAACTCTCTCGGTTTAACTTGTGGCTGTCAGATATCTCGGGCAAAATATGTCGCAATCGCTATATGAAAATCGACGATTCCAATAATATCTAGACATTTGCATAATTGCTACAGACATACTTATAAATCCCGAGGAAAATCAATACGACATTTCGAAAACAGATATCTACGATTTCAAATAAAAACAATCGTAATTTTTTAGTTTTAAAATTAATTTTTAAATTTGAATAAAAAAAATAAACAAAAATTTTCTCTCTTCCCTTGTCAATGTTTGACAGGCCTGATACAATTCGTCATGAAAATTTCGAATTTTTTTAACATATACATGTGTTTTTCAGATCCGAATGCACCGATCGTTCCTGCCGGCACACATCCTGTGGCACCGGCACTCGTCGCCGAGCGGTCGCGCAATCCTCATCCTCCCCCGTCTCCTCGCAGTTGCAGCTGCAGCTGCAGCCGTGCGAATGCACCGACGAGAGATTAAACTGCTCCCACACAGGCGGCGGCGAGGCGCCATGCGAGTGCGAGTGTGGCGAGGAGGCGAAGCCGTGTTCGCACACGGCCAAAACGCGCAGCGTGCGTCGCACGTGCACGGATTGCAGTTGCACTCAGCCGTGCGGTCACAAACCGCAGTCCGAGGGCCGTATCAAGCGGGTCAAGTGCCGCGTGAGACGCGCCGGCTGCGCGATGGCTCGCTGCACCGCCGAGCTCGCGATGCTGCATTTGCACTGGGAGCTCGCCGCCGAATGTGCGCCCTGTAGACCGCGCGCGCTCACGCGACGGCTCTGCAGGAGGCAGCAGAGCGACAACGAGCTCTACCGTAGCAACAGCTTCAAGTTCGAGCGTTTCGAGCGTACCAAGGACGAGTGCGTCACCCCGCTCCGCAAGCAGGTGAGTCCACTTTCGAGCTCGCTCCTGATTTTATAATCGAGTTATCTCGCCTCTTTTTTACGATCGAACACGAGATAGCACGAAGAGATGATGAATATGTTCCGAATTATTTATCATATTTTCGTAAATCCCGAATCGCGCGACACGTGTTAACACGTGAGTACTCTGATATATTGACGTATTTTATTTCGATGTACGTATAAAATACTACCGACAATATACATATGTAGAGAATCGTACGAATTTATCATCAGAGAGTTAAATTACAAAAAATGTGATATAAAAAATATATTTATAAAATAGTTTTATTTATTTACTTATTTATCGTAACAGTGGATAGCTATAATTTTTATTTAACCTTTTGCTAATTAAAGTGTTTTCAATATGTTAACATAAATGTATATTTTCTAAATATTACTCAAATTACAATAGTAAAATTTATTATGGTACAATTAAAATCGTAATGAGGATAGAATATTTTATTTTATTTACATTATTTTGTAAATAATGTATAACTTTAACGAAAAAGATAGCAAAGATTCATATGATGATTCATATAAGCATTATAACTTTAATTCCACTTTTTCATATATATATCATAAGAGCATTTCAAGTCCAGTAGTCTCTCTAGAGAATCAAGAAAAAGTATTGTACTCTATTTCATGTTCAAGTGAACTCTTTAAAGTTTGATGATATTTGGTGGTATGAGAAGCCGTGTACCGAATAAAGACTATACTTTTTCACATCGAAATAATATTCTTTTATGAGTATCATACAACAATAAAAAGTAGCATAAATAACGTCAATCAAATTTACAAATTCTAAGTTACTGTCATTTGAATATTGCTTATCTTGATATTTAATAATCAGATTGAAAAAAGTACTCAATTCTGTTGGTTGAACAAAACTTTTATCACGTTGAGACTAATAACACTTAATATTCTTTTATTATTCATATAAAAAAGTAGAAAGATTTTACTAATTGAGAGTTCATGCTAAAGCTCGATTTTAATCGCATATGTCATGCGTCGCACGTGCTATTCCATATATTATAGGTGAGACTCTCAAGAATTCCTGAAAAGAATATTTAAACAGAAAAGATGCGAGCTTATGTGGCTTACAATCGTGAATATTATCTTCCTGATATTCGTTTTTGCAAAATGAATTCAATCGCTTCTTCAATGTATGTACATTATCGAATGAGAAAACAATAAGCAATTTCATTAATGCGATAATGTATTGAAAAGAATTTAAAATAAAATAAACTCATTTATAATGTTTTTTTAAATTCGCGCCGTGATCGTAGCAATATTTCTCATCGCTATTGTACAGTGCAATTACCTTCAGCATTCGAAGCGAGTGAATTCAACGAGCGTCTATCGTATCGCGATTTCGTATATCTGAAGAGTCCGGAGTGCAATGGTGCAAGTTTCGAGTTTATGACCTATAATTTCAGACTCATTTAAACCTACTTGCACAGCCGTTTACTCGGTTGTAGATTGAAAATGCGAGATATTATATTACTTTCAACTTACAAGCTATTTCCAGATCGGGTTACTTTTAATAATAAAAGCAAAGCATAATTTAATATAGCTGATAATTGTGCGAGGCTCCCTTCTTCCTTTTTATCATAGATTACGAGGAAAATACATAATTATACTTTTTACATTGAAATATAACATAGATATTTTTTTAATGAAATAAAAACTTGAAATGTTTAGTAGTATAAAAGTAGTAAAAGTCAAGTTTCGTCAGACATTAATAGGCACTTGCTACTATAAATAGTTTTATTTATATATTTTTCATATATAGGATATATAAATATGATTTGATAATTTAATATTATAATAAGTTTATTATTATTATTATTGTATTTATAAAAATCCATTCTTATTAATTAAGATCAAACATAAATAAATTTAATTAAAAATATTTAATTAAAAAATATTTAATCAAAACTTTTTCCATTATTAAATTAATAATAAAAAATAAAATAAATTAATAATAAAATTAAGCACATTTGTGTGTGTGCTGTGTGTACATATATGTGTGTGTGTGTGTGTGTGTGTGTGTATGTTCGTATTTTATAAATTAATCTTATTATCTATAATTATTTGTGACAAAAAGTATTCTCTAATACATTAATCTAATACATAGTTTTGAACAATAAAAATTATAAGTGCAATAACATATATAAATATATCAAAAATATTTTGAATCAAATATATTTGATTATTTGATTTTATCTCTATATAATAATTAGATATAATTGTTACATGAAACTAAGATTTTCAGGAAACGTTTCTATAAAAAATTATTTCGTTTCTGAAAATTATTCCGTTATTTAATAAACTATTCAAACAATTGAGACTTATGTGCCATGATTAATCAATTATTGGAAATAAAAATATCTTGTCCAGTATAATTGATTAATCACAGCATATAAATTCACGTTCAGTCCTAAATGTTGTATCATCAATTTATGTCTAGTGATTATAAGATTTTATCATTTTTTGTTATATCTTCTGAATAAAGTGCTTATCTGTATGTCGAGTCAGAGTCGAGTCCGCTATAATACTTTATAGTTAGTAAAATAATTTGTACTTAATAAAATTCTAATAGAATTGAGTTGTCGCGACGACGGTCCTCGATTTATTCCAATGACCTCAAGGTCGACTTGCAGATCCAAGAGAAGAAGTGAAAAAGAAATTGTAACATGAATAAGAAAAGGAAGGATAGAGAGAAAGAGAGAGAGAGAAAAGATGGGAGAAAGGGGAGGTAGCGCGACGATGTCGAATTGATCGCGAATAGAAAAGGTTTCGTCTCCTTGAAGCTTTTCGGTGGCTCCATCGAGTCTTTTAGTTGTGATATTTTTTGGAAGGGCGTTCTTTATGTTGATATTGTGATGTAGATATAATAAATGATTTAATTAAAATTACAATCACAAAAAATATTCAGTTAAATTAATTAAAATATCTTTGTAATATGCAAAAATTAAACGTTTGATATATTTTGACAATAATATATCAAATCTGTATAATTTTTTATCTATTGCATTTTTTATGTTTTTAATTTGAAAGATCTAAACGACATATGATCATACATAAATGATCATGATATGATCATATTTAAATGATTTGTGCGCATTCAATTTTTAATTTAATTTCCAACTTTTTGTATGTTTGTATGAATTTTTTAAATGTGATATTTATTATTACAATACATACTTGTATTTAAATATTATAATTACAAATTATGCGCTATATAAAATATTAGCTATTTATATAATATTAGCATGATTATAAAAGAGAATGTTGTTTATTTGGTTTTACACGTACTTTTTTATATAATCCTATAATAATAGCAGAAATTAACTCTTTACAAAAACTGACGAGTTTATAACATTCACAAACTTTAGAAGTTTATGTATTAGCTTGGATAATTTCTCCGAAGAACATTTAATTTTTTCTTGATATAGTATTATAAATCTTATGATACTAAAAGTTTTCGGCTAATTAATATACCATATTTAGTACAGAAATGAATAATATTTCAGGAATAATTGTAACGCGATATACAATGATTCAATTGATTTGTTATTTGAGACAGAAAATAAGAGATCTAAACGATAAACTAATTTTGAAGATTTCACAACAGATAAAAATTTATAGTAATTCTACTCATCGAAATTATGAATTAATCGGCATAAGTGACGAAAATAACTTTCATCAGATTTTTACAAATGGTTTTTTAAATAAGCTAAAACGAGAAAATTCTTTTTCTGAGAATTGCATAGTGAATTAATAATGATACTATCTTCCGTCGGAAATGAGCAACTAGGTCCTTTTACGCTCCGAGTAAAATCGTCGAAAAGGGGTAAAACAAAACCGGCTTGTGACGTAAGAGTCTATCATGCGCCTCTTGTGGAAGACTGACAAAAGCAGAAATGAAATTTCATTAGCAATGTAAATACGAGTGAGGGGATAGAATTCGGTATGAACAATTCGTGCTCGCGCTTTCCATGAAGCAACTGTCCCATTATAGTTACCTTTCATCTTATTCTTATTCGAAAATTTTTTGTTTGCTGTTGATTATTTTCAAAGAAAAAAGATTAATTTAGTTACGTTTTTTATTTCTTTTCGATGTCAATTCGAACAATTTTTCTTTTTTTTATAATTATTTTTTCTTTTTGTCTATAAATTTTAAAGGTATAATCTGTTTTGACAAATTGATATTTTACAGTTTATTATTTTCTATTATATTAAAATCATAGTATTGTGTAAAATAATATAGAAAATGATAACAATAAATTTGTAGCACTATTAATAATATAATTAACGAATATTTTTTTATTTAGAATCACGCAATCGATAAGCAGCATTATGATCATTACTGTCAATTACGGTTAAAATGCCCGCATCGATCGTTTCCGTTCTTCCAAGTGTCACCGGAAATAAGAGCAACACATGAACGTCGCGCGGTCACGGTGTATTGATTTCGCTGAGAGTTCTATCCAATCTCTTGTACTAAATTCAATAGTACTATAGCGAAGTCCCCCTGGACTTGATTCGTGATAAACGATAGATAGCACTTGTCGTGTGATATTTTTTCTTTATGGCTTTTTGGTACGGATTAAATATTAATGATTTTCTTCGTATTAATTTAAACAATACATGTATATACATATATGTACATATTTATTGTGTTAAAAATGTGTACAAATTTTGAGGGTACTTATTTTGTACAACCCCACGTCACATCATTATCACATCTGTATATACATCAGAAAAGAATCTTCTTTTCTTAATTTCAACGATCGATCGTTAAAGATTTACATAAAACAGCGATTAAATCATAGCTGAAAATTGGTTTCGCATTAATCAAGGTTCGCATTAATCCAATCAAGGTAAGAAGTCACACGTGTGTAAACAGTCGGGTAGGAAATACTGGCGCAACCATTCGCCCAGGATACCAATCCAACAAGTTTTCCACCGACGGTCAATGGACCACCAGAATCACCCTAGAAAAAGGTTATTTTAAATTTAATATTAAACTCAATATTTTATTTTGTTAAATCTTGTTTTATATTTTTTATGGCATTACGTTAATTATATTTAAAAAAAATTTAAGTGCTTACATAATACATTATTATTGTGAGAATATTAAATGTAGGTGAATGAGTAGATACAATAGAAATTAAAATTTTTATGAAAACTTACGTTACAAGATCCTTTTTCCACTCGCGGATCGTATGCGCAAACCTGCGTGGGATAGACGTTGTATCCCAAATCGGTGTATTTATCAGAGCAGTATTGTTGGTCAGCAATCACAATATTGACTCGTTGTAATTGATTAGTAGTTGGTCCGCCTTGCTGCAATTTTGCAGTAACATTTATAACTGTGCTTTTTCAACTAACATTAGTTTGTTTTATTTTTTTCACGCGTAATGTAAGTAATAAATATAAACATAATCGTAAGAATTCCGCGTCATTTTTATATAAAAGATATGGATTGCACGAGAAAAAAAAATTCATTAGAGAAGTAAAAAAATTCACCCAAAGTCTGCCCCATCCTGATACAACAGCAACATCGTTGGCATTGACAACGTAGTCTTGCGGTGGCAGAGGAATTTTTTGGAGTGTTGCAGATAATACAAAAGGATTTTTCACCTGAAAGATGATTTTTATTTAAGTATTACTAAGTCTTATTAAGTCAAAGAAATTGAAAAGATCAAAAGATATTGATTCTCTTGTGTAGAGGGAAAATTTGTAATAAATCTTTTACCTTTAATAGAGCAACATCGTTAACCCAAGAATCAGAGGAATCATAACCCTCATGTATACGAATAGACGAAACTTCATTCGTCACTTGTGGATCTAATAAATCGAGGCTGGCAGCAACTACTTTTATATTCTCAGCTGATTGGCTATATGTAACATAAAAATTTTATTATTAAAATATCTATCCAAAATAATAATCTCTTCTAATGATCTCTTCTAGAATGTATTATATTATCTTTTGTTGGCAAAACAATATTCACAATATAAGACGTGGATTGTAGAGGAAAAAATACAAGTTATAATTAAAATATGAGTTTTAATTATATTAGCGTTTTTATATGAGATTGTATTAATCTTTATATGAGATTATTTTAATATTATTTAGTTAGTAATGTGAAAAGATTTATAATAAAATTACCCTTCAGCACAGTGAGCTGCCGTGATAACGTAATTTTCCGTCAGGATTGAACCACCACAGAAATGGAATGAACTTGATTTTTGTTGAAGAGAAACCTAAGGAAATAAAAATAATAGCATTCTAATATTTATGTTTCTATTTATTTTTATGCATATTTTTAATGGAAAATATTTTTATATAAATTATGAAGCGCAGCTTTAAATAATTATACTTTTCTCTTAGCAACATGTACCTGATATGGAATTTCGCCTAATTTCGCATCTTCTCCATTCACGATTCTGGGATCAAAGTATGGTTTCAAAATTCCAGCTACAATATGACAAATTATTATTATTGTGTGTAAAATAGAAGATATTAAAAAAATTTAATTCTTTTTTTAAATTAAAATTATATAATAAATAATAATCTAACTTTTTATACATACACTTTAATATGGAACAATTTTCAGATTTTTACACATTAATAAATTTTTTACATAATTTTTTTCCATTAATTATAAGATATAATTTTGCTATTCTTGCAGTTTGTAATTAATGATTGAATTAAAAATCTTAGCATAAATTAAGCCATTTAGAATAATATGTTACAATAAGGCGAATTTTTTTGTTAAATTATTTTGTTATTTCTAAACGGAATGTATCAATTTGTATTGATTTAAACGAATGTTGTTTGTCTCAATGTTAAACAAATTATCGGTTTATTCATATAGAATCATCACTTACCTTGAGAGAATGCCAATAGGCCGAGAAGACACAAGATCGTTAACGCCATCGTTTGATCGGCAACTCTAGTCTGTATTGTCAATCATGTCAACATCGCGAATTTATATACCTGCTTCCACTTCTGTACAAGTAGTCCAATGATTAACAACCTTCTTTTCTTGTGAAATCTAGATTAGATACGAAGCTCGATTACAAAATAATATATCGACGATGTTCTATCGGAATTGACAGCGATCAGTCGTCTTTTGATAAAAATTGCGGTACTGAGATTTTAGAACGTACAAATTGTTTCCTTGGTTAATTGCCCGTTTTGTTTTATTCTTCTTTGAAGAAGAAATCTAAGAGAATCTAATAATAAATAATTACATTTATTTCTATTAATTACATTTATAGTTATTATTATCCAAATATTTAGCAATTTTTAACTTATAATTAAAAGTATATATAGAAGAAAATTCTTAATATAATTATCTAGACTATTATATATAAATACAAAGATTAACTATTATATATAAATATAAATTAGTGTTTGATTTTGAATGAATGTGTAGATCTAATCACAGTATATATGTTGCAGTGACTTTTTAATTATGCAATCTTTTATCGTTCGATTACAATAATAATAATAATCTGCTCTGTTAACATCTCATTAACTGATATATGAGATATTGGGTTTTCCCATATCTCTTAATCTGATGAATCTTTAGCATATTCTATCTTATTGAATGTGATAGAATATCGTGATTTTTCAATTGATATGATAATAGCATCGTCTCATTTTTGCATTTTCTATGACTTGTCATTTAATAAGATATAAAATAGTACTTTAAAGCTAAGTAAGTAATATTATTTTTAATCTTCGCGGAAATATATAATTTATCGATTAGAGTTATCGCTTAATTTGTTCGCAAACAATTTATATGTCCAGACTAGAATGAGGCTATAATAGTTTCAACATTTACTGACATTCTCGACTTAATAGTACAATTTTTTTTATTAGAACTCTATCACGTAATATATTAAATTATATGTATAATATATTAAATTATATGTATATTAAATTAAAAATATCAAGCAATTTTTAATATCTTTTAAATCTATTAACATTTCTACTTTACGTACATTACTTAAAAACTCTAATTGCTTCCCATTAAAAGTTTCACTCTCGCAGCGTCAATTTCAATAAAAGGTCTTGCGAGGGATAAGAAGCTTCGGTCATTTCTTAGCAGTTGACCATGCTTTATCAGGAAATCCTGACGGACCGTCGAACGGATAAAGGTGGGAGACGATCGATCGTTGGTCCAGAACCACTACAGGGTATCAGTATTTCAGGATTCACCTGCGACCAATGACCTCGTGCTCTGACCGCGTAATCAGCTATACGGATGATCAAAGATTCGCGTACCGATCGAGATCACCGATATTTTACGTGTAGAAACTTTCGATCGTGTTGGGGCACCTAGCTTTTATCAAACTTCACGATAGCATGTTGGAGCTTTGAATAAATTTACAATTGATGAGAGTTTTTAACTTTTGAACGAATCTATAATCGTAGATAATTCATGTTCTCTATTTTCTCTAATAAAAAAAATTATGTGATTTAAAAAGACAGTAGATTTTAAAAAATTTAATGTTTATGTTTGTAATTGCTTTTATAATTAAACTGTAGTGTGATATTTTTGATTAAAAATATAGTTATTAATTATTACACTAATATTATTATTTAATTTATATATTATTAATATTGTTTCTTTTGTGAAATCTATATGCAGAAGAAAGATATCAAATTCTAATAATTATTCTAAATATTTATAATATATAACATGATATATTACATGCTATATTAATAAAGAAGATTATTTATCAAATATATTATAATAATAGCAATTTTATCGCTCAATAAAAATATTAGATAAAAAATCATTTTTGATAATCATTCGAATGAAAAGAGAGAGAGAGAGAGAGAGAGAGAGAGAGAGAGAGAGAGAGTGCTTAAAATATTACGATAAAAATATTATGATATGAAATATTAAGATAAATAAAAACTACAAATTACTTACATAACATAGCTTAGATAAGAAGTATCATTTTATTGTTATAGATCAATTTACTATCTGGCATAGTATGCTTTAGCGCCATTCAATATTTACAGAAATCATTTTCGTATCGATATAATAGTGTCACGATAAGTGTATTCTTATTTTAGCTACAATAATTACAAGAATAAAATGAAGTAAATAGGATATATAGAAGAAATTATATTATTATAGCGATATTTTTAAACTGTGCATATAAATCTTTGCAATTTCGCAAATACGCTCCCAGAGATACTTTACGAACGCATATTATTCGTACAGAGGGATTTATTTTCTTATGTCGACAAAGTTTGTCTTCGCATGCATTATTCAGAAATTTCTTCTAGAATATCGGTTGTTGTAAAATTGTAAATGGAATAAAAGGATCAAAGGTTGTCCGAGAACAACGAGATCTTTCTTGCTAGCGCATTCCAGGGAAATCTGAGATATATCATATTTTCCTTCCATGCGTAAAATCGCCAAGACTTTTAAACAAAAGGCAAACGCTTAAAGAGCGAAAAAATTAGTAAGAAGAGATATAAAATACATATTTTCCGAACAATTATTTAACGACAAAAGGCATATAGAAAGCATACAAAAAGTATATAATTTTTATCATATACTATACAGTTATCATTAAGTTGCAATTACAACGAATATTTTTCAGTAGTATTTATATTAATATGCAGTATTTATATTAAAATAATATTATAATAAACATGTTTTATATTTTTATCAAGAATTCCCTCTTTACCTGCTTATGAATAAAAGTATGATTTTGACTTGTGTGGAGAGAAAGAGAGAAAAGAGAGAGAAGATAAATCAACATAATAAACTTTGCTGATCTCTTATATATTTTGATTATAATCTTTATATTTTCAATAATAACAATTTAATTTAATCAATTTATAATTTCATTAAATTTAATTTATATATATTGACTATTTACTTTTGAATATGGTTCATTGTAAATCTACTTCAACTCAGGCAATGATTACATCGTAATCACAGTACAACACAGATATGCTTATCAACTATCGGAATGTCATGAACTGTACGTGATAAATTTATTATGCATTATTCTGTGGTTTTTGAACAATGTATGAATTATTGTGGTACATTGAACTTTGACAATACCCTCGCTCTCGAGCAATCGAAATGATTCAACGAACGCGTGATATCATTTCTTTTCTTTCTTGCTCTCGTCGTTGGGAAAAATAGTCGTGGCAGCTGTATCACAACGCTATGCGCATGATCTGCGATAAAAGAACATCGATTGCCAGTTTGTGTAAAGTCTCCGCTTTCTCTTTGTGATTGTCATTAATTAATGCTCAACATTGCGCGTTCATAAGATTGTTTGTGCGACTTTGATATGCGTGCTCATTTCCTTTCTACGTTTTGATCTATTTTCAAGAGATAGTGTCTCGGAGCAAGCTTATCTTTTATTAGAATTAAAAAATTGTGTCACACAATTAATGACGCATTTAGTAATAATAGCAATAATTTTAAAGCGATAACTTTTACATAAGGGAATGAATTGTGCTTCTGTAAGATGTTTTTTTATATGAGAATAAAGATTTTAATTTCATAAATAAATTTGATATAAAGTAAAATAAAAATTTTATAAAATTAATAAATGTTAATATAAAATTTCATACAATTAAAATAAAAACATATATAGAAATATTTTGCGTTATATTGAATTTTATATAAAATTTTATATTGAACTTATATTGAATTTTATATAAAATTATATTTTAAATATAATTTTTTTCATATTTATAATGAAAATAGTAAATTAATGTCGGCGACTCTCTATTTTGATAAAATTATCGAATTTATCGATTAATATTGCATGCATATCGCATCATTAAAAAGAACATCATTAGTTGAGAATCATCATTAGTTTGTTTAAATTGCTAACGTTGAAAATATTGAACTACGCAGTTCTGTCGCTGAAAATGATAATTGAGTCTTTGTTATCATAATTTGTGATTAATATAAATCATCGATAAATTTATTAGTATTTTCCATAACTATGTATATACTTATCGAATTAATAAAATGTTAATTAATAATTGGCGTATGCAAATAGAAGATAACATCAAATAAAAGATAACAGAATGAAATATATTCTGATGCACATAAATTTTATCGGCAGATTTTGCGCATTTGCGCTCAATAGATTACAAATTATTTATAATAATGCAAAAATATTACAATATATATATATATATATATATATATATATATATAATGCTAAATTCTTATTATATACATATTTACAATTGCAAAATAAATGATGTTTTTTTACATCTTTTAAAAGTACAAAATGTTAATATTACATAACGTAAATCAATTAAACACAATATTATGACCAAATATTATGTATTATATATATATATATATATATATATATATATATATAAAATTAAATGTTTGCAATCTAAAGATACGTCGTACTAATTTATTTACACATTTAGTTTATCTAAATTTTATAATCTTATATGTTAGTCTTTCTGCTAATTCTAGTTTTTTTATATTTATTATTTATTATAATATTTATATTGCTAGTTATTTAAAATGTAAAAATTGGATATATATAAATAAATAAAAAAAAAATTATATACTATTTAATTTTAGACTTTTAAACTATGAAAATGTTTAGTGTTTTCCTAGTATATTAATATATTTACAAATATATGCTTATATTACAATTTTCTTATTTATAAATCATTACTTGCGATAGAACTATTTTCTGCGTTTGAAATGATAATTTTTATTATACTAGCAATCAGAGAAAGAGAAAGTTTAATCAGACAAAATTTAATGAATATATTCAAGAATAATTTTTACGCGTTTTCTATCTATATAGAAGATACTTATTATTGACAATACACTTATTGCAATCTAATAAAACGAAAAAGTAAATAATCTAATGTTAAATATGATATTCTTGGAAATGGCGATTGTAGTTTTATATGATTATCAATTGTATTTACACGATATTCTTCTCAATCCAATCAATGTACAAAGATACGCGGGTATACACAGTCGGATATTCAGTAAGGGCGCAACCTTTAGCCCATGATACAATCCCGACAAGTTTTCCATTAACAATCAAAGGACCGCCCGAGTCACTCTATAAAAGAAGATTAAAGTGTTTTTTATTTTACTTTTTTTAACGCTTCGCATGCATAAAATACTACTACCGAAGTCTCGTCTAACGCTTGTAAAACGATACAACGCTTTCACACAACTGTTGTCTTTTCTTTTAATTCTTTCATGTATATGTATATTCTATCATGTATATGTTTAATTCTCAAAAAGTATCAATTTAACTATTTTTTGTAATTATAATACTTATCTTTTAACTTATTTCTTTTTAATTATATCTAATTTTTTTATGTATGTTTACTAAGGATTAATTACACTGAAAACAAAAGATAATTTAAAAATGTTTTTTACAACTTACTTTGCAAGCTCCTCTTCTTTTATTTGGATCGTTAGCACAAATCTGAGTATCATAGATATCAGATAGGACTTTGTTGTACATATCCTTGCAGTATTCTTGACTGGTTATATAAATAGTAGCTTGTTGTAAGATTTTAGATCTAAGTCCATTTTTCTATAATTTATATATATTAATAAAATTAACGAGATTAAATACAGCGATAAGATTATGCTGCTGCATTAATTTCGGTATATATGTCTAAAAACCGCAGAGTGAAGGAGAGTTATGAAGAAGAGTTATGAAAAATGCATTTGCAAATCCTGCACTTACTGTTATTCCGAATCCGGAGACTCTTGCCATAATACCTTCCTGAATAGCTTCGTCTTGTTCAGGAAGAGTTACAAATCCAATGTTACGTGATGGTCTAAATGGAGAGAACATCTAAAAAGCAAAGTGCGTCAACGATGAGAAACGATGATACTGAAATTCGAAGTTGATATAATATTTACGGGATAATTTACTTTGAGCAATGCAATGTCATTAAGCCACGAATTATGAGGATCATATTTTTCATGAGAAATAATCTGTTTAATTGCATGCTGTGGGCCCGGTCTGTTCAAATTTACGGTGTCAGCAATGATTACGAGGTCTGCAGGTATCTTACTGTAATAGCAGTAATATTAATTAAAATATGAAATTATTAAAGCACTGAAACTTTAAATGTATAAACTGTATATAACTAACTGTATATAACTATATAATAACTGATATTTTGTAGATGATATTTTTACTTCAAAATCTATTTTTACTGTAAAAATTAATTACTTCTCCACGCAATGAGCAGCAGTAATAACGTAATATTCATTAAGAATAGATCCGCCACAAATATGGGAAGAACGTTTTGTCTGCAAGGAGACCTAGAGTGAAATAAATTTAGGAAATTAATTTTATCTTATGTGTATAGAATTTTCGATCTTCGTGTATTTAAACAATCAAATATATGTGTATATAGAATGTCTAATGAAATCTATATCGATATCTGAAGTGCTGAAACTAGGTCTGCAATATAAGAAAAATCTTGAGGATTTAGAAAGCAAGATAATATTATATTTGAGTCACTAAAACTTACTTGATATGGTATTTCTCCCGGTGCTACATCTTTTCCATTTATGATTCGTGATTCGTACCGCGATATGGCAGCTGTTGATGCAATATAAAACTTATTTGAGCTAGAGCTTTTTATTGTAGAGAGAGAATTATTTTATCTTCCTTTTGTACACATTCTAATATAATTGAAAATACATCATCGTCGCTAATATAAAGCTTACTTAAATTTCAAAATCTATAATTATCTATATCATTATTATCTGAAATTCAGACTTTTATTTTATCTATCTTATTTTATCTATCTTAATTCTATCTATACAATTTCGTAAAAATATGTATTTCTTATTTTTATCAATTATATTTCAATTTGAGAAATACTATTTTAATGTATGTTGTTCTTATTTTGTATTAATTTTATTGATGAGTTTATCAAGAAATCTCTCAAATTTTTCTGCCTTCTTAAAAATAGAAAGTATTGTAGTTATAAAATAAATATTTTATCAAAAATTAGATGATTTATGTATAAATTTTTCATAATGTATATAATTTACTAATTGTAAGTATTTAAATATTATATGTGCGTGTAATTCTATCGTTTTTAATGTTTTACTTACATTGAGAGATGGATGATACACTAAGAAGAAATAAAACGGACAACATTTTGAACGGCAACAATCACATTTGATTGAATTTAAAGAGTGGATAAATTTATATACTTATCTGATAATAGCAGGCGTACATGTTAACAATGCATTGATTAATAAACAATTATCTAAACATTGCAGATTAGATAAGTAATTTAATCACCGATGGATTGTCATTACTTTTATGTTGGTTTATCAGTATATTCAATTTAGACACAGGCATGTTATCAAATGTAGAAGGAATTCTCTGATATAGTATTTTTAGTTGCGAGTAATAGATAAATACACATGAATCTTCTCTCACATGATCTAGGAAAGTGGATTGCAGTGATATTATAATTCACACACAATTTCTTTATAATACACTTTATTATATTATGTATCTTTATTACGTGAGGTCTCGGCCTCATTAATGTAGATAATATAAATTATCACGTGAAAAGACTTTGTCTCCATGTAGATCTATTATCAATTTTCGAAAAGCAACGAAAATACGGAGAACGCGGTCTCCTATATCGCAATATATAAATTTTTATGTGGGTACGCTAGGATGGACGACAACGGACTCGTCCGTTCTTGAGTCAGTCCTCTCGAAAAGGTCCCCGAAGGAAGGAGAACGCGCGTGGGAGATTTTCTCGCTTTTCTTTAGTTCCTACATATGTGTGAACCGCCGAGATTACGGGCTCGCAGGCCCATCGGTCAACGCTCGTCTTAAGTAGATAAAAATAAGAAGAAGCATCTTTCAAACATCTAATCTTTTTGGAGATTTGCCCGGGCCCTATTTTAGAATCTATCCGCCACTGCTAATTGGGAGAAAGGGGGTTTTAGTATACAAGGTGAGTTTTTTATCTTGAGACATTGAAATATTTCATAATATCTAAAAGATACGACAAAATGTTTCAGACAAAAGTTATATGGTTTCAAAGGGGACATAAGATGGTGTCATTATTTTGACCTTAAAGAGTCAGCTGAAGGTTACGTGAAAGTCACTTCCAACTTTTTAAATGGGACATCCTATATGCTTTTGCATATTCTTGTAGCTCATCTCGAGAGCTTTCCAAAACACTATAATTAAGTTAGTTTTCATTAAGTACTTTCCGAGTTATGAGGCTTGAAATCATTTCTTAATTTTACATAAACCGTAAAGTATCTTGTAAAATATTCATTTTTCGATTATCTTACTTTAATACTTTTATGTAGAAAATAATGGGAGGAATCAATTGGTGTAAAGAAAACACATAATTGTTTCGAAAAAAATGTAATTAATTGCAAATTGTGAGGTCTGAATAGCTCAATGATCTAGAGTTGCCCGGAAAGCGAAAGACTCTGGTTCGATTCCCGATCCAGTCACTTGCGCCCTACATATTTTTCTAGTCCACGAATATTTCTAGTTTTCTAGCAATTATTCGTTAGGCTGAAAAATGTGTGAATGCTTTCTCCACAGGAGTATCAATGCCGTTGCCACGGATGGATTCTGTCGCTCGTTGATCAAATGGACGTACAGACACGACCTCCTCCCACATACATCTCTATCTTTTTCTGGAAGAGATCTTCTCCAAAGGGACCAAGGCGAGAAAATCTCGCACGTGCGTTCCCTTTCCTTCGGGGACCTTTTCGAAAGGATCGACTCAAGTGCGGGTACTATCGTCCGTCCTAGCGTACCCACATAAAAATTTATATATTGCGATATAGGAGACCAAGTTTTCCGTATTTTCGTTGCTATTCGAAAATTGATAATAGATCTACGTGGAGACCGAGTCTCTTCATTTTATTTCATTTAGATTATCCCCAGTAAACACAAAATATTGCAACAATATTGCAGCAATATTACAACATTGCAGCAATGTTGCTGCAATATTCTGTGTTTGCTGGGTCTATATTAATGAGGCCGAGACTTCACGTAATAAAGATATATAACAAATTATAAAGAAATCGTGTGTGAATTACAATCCTTACACACTACTGCAATCTAGAAAGAATAAGAATTAATAAATGAAATAGAATAAAATCTTGTTTATATATGATACAAATAAACAAATGAAATTTAACGAGAAAACATTTTCTTTATATTTTATAAATCATTTTTCATGTATAAAATATAATATTATTTTATAAGTACATATTTTTTGCAATTTTACATTTAATTAATAACATGAAAAAATATATTAAATGGTATAAGAATTTTTTTGCAAGATTTCTGGGTATAATATTCATTAAATTCTAATTATCGGTCAGATATTAGCTTCACTTGTATATTCATGATTGATTAATTGATATTTATATCTTGCGGAGATTTTTTTAAGTTAAGCATAAATTTTATGATTAATTATCATATGTTATTATTAATTTTATGATTACCTTGTAGATTGCATCATAAAGATACAATATGTATATTTCTACCATATTTATTTTATGCAATCAAGGGAAACAAAGAATAACTTCAACAATATTGTGAGAAGTAAAGATAAGAAAAAAGGAAATACATACAAATTTTTTTATATAATTTTATATATAAAGAACCTTTATAATTTTTCAATATTAAAGTAAGGGAATGTTAATTGAAATTGTGTATCATGCTTAAAGAGAAATCGAATAATATCGATATAAATGGAACATTAAGATTATCAGAGAAAGAGAGAGAGAGAGACAGAGAGATGCTGATTTTATTCTAGATTAATTTGACAAATAAAAGCATTTTTTCTATAGTATAAAAATTATTTTATTCGACATCTAACAATAACAGCTAGTGGGCAATAATTCGCCCGCATGTACGAAACATTTTTATCTCGAAATGTCGATAGAATTTTGAACATTGCGAAATAACGCTTTTAAAATCTTTCTTGCAATCCTTTCGTTTTGCATTTATTGTGTTAAGATGAACAAGTTAAACGTCGTTTTTATCTAATTAGGATAAAATAGTCGTTAATGTGTCAGTTAATGTGGCGTATCTCCGGTGGTGTCATAACGCATTATGAAGGCACCTGGTTGAGTGACCTTTCGATCGATATACCAGGACAGATGCGAAACTGCATCCAAGGCGACGTTGGCTCGACTCCAGATACTTCGAAAGCCTTATGTGCGCTGATAATGCTCCAGAAATATTATTTTTTTTTATGATGCAAACTAAATGTCCCGCTTTTAAACGAAAAGTTTTGAGTAATGTAGCGCTAATTTGGATCTTTTAAATATTCAGTTTGCTTATGTGTCGTCCTTAAACTGTAAAGATATACACAATCCATGATGGATATAAAGAATATTGATACTATAAATATGTGCAATTTTTTATTAATACATTATTGTCCGTATATGAGATGGTATTTGATATTCTATTTTCGAATTTTCCATGAAAGAAACGGCATTTATTGGAAAACTCGTTTCGCGCAAGTTCTATATTATAACATAGTGCATGCGTGCGCAATATATGATATAAATGAAAAATATCTACGAAAATTTGTTTACGTAACGAACGAATCATATCTAGTAGTCTGTCGAGAATTTTGATATACTGGCATAACATGGCTCCATAACATGAAAGTTGAGATGCAGAAATTTCTTGTATGTTATTACAGCATGTATCGTATGATGCACTTGATATCTTGATATCTAAAAATATCCATGTGTATAAAATATCTACATGTATTTTGATATTTTACAAAAGAAAAAGATATGCACTTATTACTCGATAACAAAGACATAAATAGAATTTAATATAAGATAAATCATTTTTTACGTTGAAAGATTATCGGAGAGAGAAATTTTCGAGACATCGAAGCAAATTTTATAAGGATCCGAATATTTGAACTTTAAGAAGATGAACCAAGTTCTCAGAATTTATTATACTTCATTCCATACTGAACAGTTTTGCAATGTCATCATTGAATTCGGCTGTTCTAGAGGCGCCATCCCTCTTTATCACGAAATCTTGACAGAGAGCAGTGGGAACGAAATGCCTGGATTCCAAGGTAGGGACCGATCGATTCTCTCTACCTAATGGAATGCAGTCTGGCTTACGCTGGTTAAAATCGAACTATTGCAGATAATTACACTATAAATGAAAAGATTCTTTATGAGTAAAAATATATGTTGAGATATTTTGAATTTTAAAATGCAAGATATTGCATTGATGGGCCTTTTTAAAAATGTGATTTTCAATTTATTGCTGAAAGTAACAGAAACTACAAGAATTGTTTGCGTGAGATATAACGATATGCCCGATAGTTTCACAATTTTTAACTTGATCTGAAGATTCTGTAATCGTGATTACATTTTGGAGTAGGAGGCAAAAGGTCAATCGATCCTGCCGACCAAGAAGAGATATTGAGAACCGCTGCTCCAGGACTCACCTGCGTCCGACGACCCCACATCCGGAGCTTTTCATCGATCATACAGGTAGTGAAATAGTCTGACCCACGTGTGTAATCCTACACTCAATTAATTAATGTTCATGATTATGGAACTATTCAGATTTTCAAGCTATGTAGGTCTACCAATAAAAATAAATCATACAGAGTTAAAAGTACAAATGTCTAATAAATAATAGTTAGATATGTTTTTGCTGATTTTTGCTGACAAGAAAAATTCCTACATGTATTCTCTCTAGTCATAAAGCACAATTATAAGTAAATACAGAAGTTAAAATATTCTGATATGTTATTTTTCTCTATTGAAATTGTATATCAATGTCAGTGTTTAATGAAATTTTTAGCAAGAAAAATCGTGTTGTTTTATAAAAAATATATCAAAATATTAGAATTATCTTTTTTCTTGATATATTTTTAGAATATTATATAGTCAAGAGAAGTAGAGCGATTAAATAATAATAATTATTGTAATAATTATTATAAAATTGGCATATGCAACATTTATGTCTTTGTATAAAGCACTTAAGAGAATTAAAGTTGGCTTAAATTTAAGCAAATAATTCCGTAGAAACTTCCTGCTTTGTAATTTTTAACAGTTATATATATATATATATATATATATATATATATATATATATATCTAAGAGAGCAGTAAGCGGAAACGTCAGTTGCAGTGCAAAGTTTATCGTAGAAAATACGAAGAATCAGAGAATCCTTCTTTTGATTTAGGATAATCACATCTTTTTCACGTCAATTGTTTAAGATGGATCATCTTTTTATAATGAAAAGGATTATCTTTTTTATATAATGTGTATGTTCCATTCTCATTCTCGCTTTTTATAATAATTTTACTTACATCACATTCCGAGTATGCGAACCGATAACGCCGACTAACGCAGATTGGACACTGTGTGGGTGTTTTCAATATCGCCTTCACGGCGTCGTAAAAACAAACACCATCGATGCGACATGTCTTCCGCAAACTACTTTCCTGTTTGATTTATATCCGATACCTTCCCGAATATCTTAACGACATCAATGTGTTGGTCAAACTTTTATTTTTTTCTCCCAAAGCATAATTGATATTTGTTGATACGAATTCTCTTATTTGTATGCAAAACTCATTCAAAAATAAACATTTTCTTTCAATATGACGATGTTGACGAGTATTACTCGTAAAAACGGAAAAGGACATTATAAAATGCAGCATTTCAAAAACAAACGCGTCTTTTGTTTACAAAGCTCTATGTCTGTGCGTGTGTGTGCGAAATGTAGAAATTAACGTTGGACAGAAATGAGAGAAAATGGATACAAATGGTTCTTTCGCTCGTTTTTGAGAGAAGTGTTTGTTAATTTCTCTGAAATAATTTCGTGCACTTGACGTACGCTGTCAGAATGGGGTCCAACGGGTTTGCTTTGATTGACCCACTTTTCTCTTTTGATCCGTTTATTGTTAGGATATCGACCACAGCAACGTGCAGTGCATATGTAATATTTACAATTTATTTATACGGTTGTTTTAAATCCACTTTTATTTGTTCCTTTTAAATTAGAGGAATAAATATTACTACGCGTTAATAATCACACGAGTTTCAATGATATCAATTTTTTTAAAATCTGATATCAATATGTTGTTTTCTTATAATAAGGAAAAATTTTAAAAAAATATTCTGATATTAGTATCATATATATAAAATATACATATATATATATTCTTCAAGAAATTATATTGATTATATTTTAAAATATAATTAATGTCATTAGTTTGGCATATGTCGTCAAACATCGAAATTGATTTTTACGTTTCGCATATTAATTATTTTAACTCACACGGCGTACTTTCTGATCCAATTGACGTATGATGGGACGCGTGTGTAAACGGAAGGATATATCATGTCAGAGCAACGATATGACCACGAGACGAGTCCGATGAGTTTTCCATCGACAGTGAGAGGACCACCGGAATCACCCTAAAATAAAATAATACATTATTCTAATCTAGTTACTTAAATATTACAAGGGTTTAATTAAAAAATCGTGCGCAAACGATTTTATATATTTTTTAAATTAATTTAATATATGTTTTTTTTTTGTTAGTATAAAGTTAGCCCGTATGTTAGCTTTGTTGTTAATTTAATTACACTGATAATGAATAATAATACACTTTTGCTTTGTTCGGTCTACTGTCGCGGTTTTGCTACCAATTAAATTGAATTACAAAACGTGACGAGGAAACTGAATGTGCTTCATTAATGATACGAAATAATCAATGGCACGTATCGATCGACATTCGATAATTCTCAAACTCGCATGAATTTATATATTGTAAAAAATTAATTAACTGATAAATTAATTGATAAACACAAGTAGTGATAAATATAAGATTACAATTGTGATAAATTCACATATAATTGTTACCGATGCGATAATGATGTGGGATTTTCTTGTTATCGGGAGATATTCTGAGAACGTTATTCAATTCGAAGTATATGAGTTACATTGAGACATTGTGCTTAGAAGCCATTAGATAGGATGGCGAGTTGAAGCCTTGCGTGTGAGAAGAATGATGCGAGTTAAGTAGTTAACGACTGTATCTAGGCAGACAGCATTAAATTACACGTGCGGCCAGTACTAATGACAGTGATGTTACTGCAACGCTTTGTAAATGGTTTACCTTGCACGAACCCCTTTCTACAGTTGGCTCGTTTGCGCAGATATGCGTGTCGAAAATATTTTTCGAATGTTTCGCATACATATATCTGCAGTAGTCTTGATTAGCTATTTTGATGCTAGCAACGTTTAATTCCGTGGTCCTGTTTCCGTTATACTATAAATATAGAAAGTAAATATACAAATTGAGCACATATTTGATACTTTAAAATCACTTTAAGACGTGATTTTCCACAAATTTTAGTTTATTATTGATAAATGTCTATCTACTTAAATTATTTACACTTTTAAATGAAATTAATATATTATCCGTAATATTATTAGTAATAATATTAATTTTTATTTATAAATAGCATTGCAAACAGTAAAATATTACTGAGAAGAAATCAATTAATGGTAGTGATTCGGTTTATTTTCAATTAGTAATAGTGGTTTGGCTTATTTTCCAGTAATTTCTTATACTGTAATCAGTGAAATGCATACGACGGAGGAGCAAAGTGTGAGTCTTTCTACTAAAAATCAGTGAAATACTATCTGACCTTTAGTGAAATCGTGTTATTTGTTTTAATCAATGACATGTTTGTTAATTCAATTTAGGAGAATGAAGATTTACCCATAATCTGCCGTATCCTGACACGACTGCTATTGAATTAGCCTTCACAGTTTGATTTTGCTTTGGTAATACAACAGAGGATACCAAAGTGGAAAAATTAAATGGAGATTTAAGCTGAAAATCAATGTTTTCTTGTTATCATTTAATTTAATCATTTAATTTATATCATTTCAATAATAATGTTATCATTTAATTTATCAAATAATCATTTAATTTAGAGTTTTAATTTTCCAAATTAATCAATTACTTTATATAAAAACAACCCAATTATTTTATAAAAAAATAATTTATTATCTGCATCGATTTTTTAATTTAACTAACATTACCTTAAGTAGAGCGATATCATTGATCCAGGAATTATTGCTATCGTATCCTTCGTGTATATAAGAGGACTCGATGAAATGCACCGCATATGGTTTTTGTAAATCCGTCGTTCCCACAGTGGCTGAGATAAGCTCGACATCAGTACTGGAAAGAATATCACGTAAACTATAAATATATATATATATATATTTATAGAATAATTTATATTCTCGAAGTTTTCCTTGAACTTTCTCATACTTACCCAAACGCGCAATGAGCGGCAGTCAACACGTAGTTTTGATTGAGTACAACTCCACCGCAGAAGTGATGTCCTGTTTGGATAGTCTGGAGAGAGACCTGAAATAATACATTTTGTATTTCACAATTCGAGATACGGAACTTTCTCGTGTGTTATTACAGCATATGACGTCTATCTTTACTTATAGTTGACTCACTTACTGTTGAATAAAGAAAGTTAATTCAAGATTCGATCTCAATACGATGTCAATTGATCTGCGCATATTTATTTCGATATTTTTAAAACGAAACGATTAGCATGTGATATTTTGATAATGATTATTAATAATATACCTGATATGGGATTTCACCTGGCTTAGCATTTCTTCCTCCTACAATTCTGGGATCTAATGTGACTAATGCACCTATATTCATAATATTTATTATACATGACATTTATATAAGTTTGATAAATGTATTAATTAAAATAACTACATTAGAACTTAACTTATCCATTACTCACTATGAGAAATAGCCAAGAAAGGAATTAAAGATAATATCGTTAGAGTCATGATTAGTCGTCTCCTGCGAAATTGTTATCTCTGTGCTAATATTATTTCAAATGTATAGTGATATTTTCGATGTCACTTGCGTGAATTTATATCATCATGAGGTTAAATTTTATATATTTCCAAGATTAGATAGAGAGATCTGATAGTTATTGATTTTTAAAATAGCGTTTGATCTACTATCTCGCTCCTGACCTACATTATCATTTTTTTTAAATATCGATTTTTTTATCTTTAATAAATGCTGATAAATATTTGATATCGTGCAATCTTGTAATTCCCTGTATATTCAAATCTAAAAATAAATACACGCGAAAAATATATATTCAAGCAGTTATCTTTCAATATATGTATAATAGATTCTGTAAGAAATAAAGAGAAATTTTTCTTTGTAGTTTTTCTTAAAAATATTTGCTACATAATTTTATATTTTCATGACTCTTCGCATTCTCTGTCACAACTTTGTAAGTTTCAGTTTTAAAAGTTTAATACTGTTATGTGAAGTATACTTCGCATCTCAGGATTACCGGCTGAACGTGACATGCAGTAGAGCGAGCTGAATGCCACGGCAAACTTGTAATGTGGAAGTAACATACCAATGCATCTCGTCGAAGTTTGCTACGATTAAGAACTTTGGCAATATTGTATAATTTATAGAGTATTTTAAGCTAAGTTTACTGAGCTTAGGACTCTGCTTAAGGAAATGTTTATATCTTAGTGATCGGAAGAATAAGTATTATTAGTAATAATCACTGACGATTCTTGTCACAATCTTCACTTTGTTCGAAATTTTTCTGATTGAAAACTTTAGCAATTTTAATACAATACATATAGTAGAAAATTTCAATTTGATGGTTATTTGAAGTTATTCTAAATTGTTTTCTAATTGTTCTGAGTAGATGAGAGACAGAAATATTTAGAATATTATCTTAATAATAAGATTATCACGGTTGGGATGGTGTTTTCTTCCTTCAAATTCGTCGATTAATATTTTCTTCTTATTGAAACGAGATGGCTTTTATGCTTTTATAATTATATGCAAGTTAAACAATTATTGAATTCTCATTTTTTTAGCGTTTTAATATTTTGACGAAACATAGCGGAGACTTTGTTGCGAGATATTTGCGGTTTAGAAAGCGTCGAGAAACGGTGAGATCCGTTTTGCCGTTGCCCATCATATTATCGCGATGGAGAACGAGCCATTTGAATTTACATGAGGTTGCGCTGGGCGATATGAGGAAGGGAAAGAGGAGGAGAGAAAAAGAGAGATAGGAAGAACAGCTGGTGCGTTTTATTACATCTCGCCATTTATCTCCCGGCACTTCGCATTCCGGATTAGCGATAATTGCTCGCACGGTCGCGGCACCTTCATCATCGATTTTTGCTCGCACGACACGATCAGGCTTTTAAATTTATTATTTTGCGAAAATTCTACGTGCAAAAATGCGTACGCTTTTCGTGGCTCTCTTTCTCTCTCTTTCTCTCTGCACCATCACTATATGAAATGCCTTTATCAACTATGTTGATATTAAATATGTCGCTCTCATTCTTGGGGAAAGGTCGCACATGCAACACGAATATATTTACTCGAATTTGCAACAAGTATCAGTTCGATATCTCGTTGAGATATTGAGATACGAATCTCACGTAGGTTCTATAACGTTCTTGTTACCCGAAATTGATGGATTTCCATGGCAGATAGATGTTACGCGAACCAGATACGGAAGATTCGAAATTCAACAGCTCTCACCGATCTCGAGGTAGCGTTCGTATAACATTCGAGTTTGTTGAAAAATGAAGAAAGGGAGTGTTGGAAGAAGGGGAGAGAGGTCTACTGCTGCTAACTATTCATATAACGTTGAATCTACATATTGCGATAAATCAACGATACAACGGTTCATCTCTTTGGATTTTAGGTTCATATACACTTATCATACGCATTTGTATGTACATCACTTTTTAAGCGAATATGTCGTGCATGAGGATTCGTGACTTCAAATATAACGACATAAAACAATCAGTTACTTTACTGTCAAAAGGAGTGGACTATAATTAGGAGGAAACATCAAAGAGCTTTTAGACATTATAACAATATTTGCGATTTATGAGGAAAATAATTTTCATAGAAATTATTGGATCTGTCGCGTAAACGATAGAAATATTCTTATCGAGAATGGAATATGAAGACGTGGATGGTATGCGCCTGCACAGGAAACGAGCTTTCGATCCTCTCTCAAATCCAATATGTCCGCGTGATGGATTTTCGTTCAACCTGGAACGACCGAGTGCAGGAGAGCGAGACTAATCGCGTTCCTTGCGCGCGCGTTCTTAGCGCCGATCGTGTACCATTATCCGATTCATCGTGTATCGATAAATCTTGGTCGCCATAGAAGTTCTTAATCCACAGACTTATCAGACTTGACGCGTGAGAAAGACGCTCTTTCGGAGTCGGCTTTCATCACCTTGTCATGATTAATTAACACTTTGAACGTGGGCGACGAGTTAAGTCCTTCTCTATCACTTACGTAACTTACTCACGCTGCATTTCACATTTTGCTTTAAAGTCTTTATTCATCCGAAAAATTTTAATATCACCATATTGAACATTGACTTGAATTATAACGCATTGTTATGTTGTTTAGCATTCTTGACCTACATAAATAGAAATTTTTATCTCAGTATGTTCTCTGGATCTCTCTCTCAATGTAATTTACAATAATATTCATTCATTGCAATCTAATTTCTAGCTTTATTTTTATTAATTCACATCTAACAAATATATATATATATATATATATATATATATATATATATATGTGTTGATTTTTTAATTTATTATTATTCTATTATTATATGGTTACTTATTCTCTTGAATGGCAAACTTCTAACAACGTAATCTACAATGGTGCAGGTTTGGTAGAAGCAAAATATATGATACAACGTGGGCGCGACATGGGACCGCAAAGGATGATAACTCCCTCAGGGCGCGAGAACCATAATCACAGCTTGCGCAAAGAGCAGAAGCTCAGACGGGGTCGGGCACTGGATCAATCATGTAATATGAGCCATGAATACTGTACATGTTCAATTATGACATTATAAGCAAGATGCATGCGAAATAATTTATTGGCGAAATACCGGCTAAAAATTATTTTACGCCCGGGTTAATCGACTCATGTGCCGCTTATTATCGTAGCCGCTATGCTCAGAACAGCCCTCGAATTCGGATTCAATATTACATCCTCGTAATTCTCGACGACTGAAGTAAACGCTATATTTCACGAATAAGTGGCGGAAGGACGGAAACGAACTGCCGGATATTCGCTGTAGCATCTCGTTTCCCTTTCGCCTTAAAATGCAATGCAATCCAATCCTTGGGATTGAGTATCGTTAAAACTCGTCTCTATACTACCGGATTTCATCCGTGATCTTTTTCATTCCTTAAAGTGCTCCGAACCCTCGATATGCCATTACTTACGGATCAGAGAGACGTATGATGCATTTCTGAACGTGACTGCATCCTTGCGATAAGAAGGAAGGAAGCTACACATGATATCTCTTTCTATCAATTTTCCATATACATGCTTGTAGTATTCTATTTGCGATTGTTAGTTAAACTTTAATATTTATCAGCAAACTGTGTAATATATCAATTTCGAAATCGAATACTGTTTCCTTGCAATATATTGCTTGAACTTTTAAGTTCAGACTTTAAGTTCAATTTTTCATTTTTTTTCCGCGAAAGAAAAAACAAGTTTATAAAAGGCAACAAAAAAGAAAAGTTATTTTCTCAATAAAATATCTTTTTCCAATAAAAAAGCATATTATACATATTTACATTTTAATAATATAAATACAATAGTTGTTCTGAATTTTATGCAATGATTTTTATAAAAAGACATTGGAATCGTGAGAACAATTTCTTTTATCATAAAAAAGTGTGATGTAAGAAGCGTGTCGAAGTATCCTTTGATTTTTCTTTTCGATATCGGAAGATTTTCTTTTGTAATAGCAATGCTTACGAGCTCGCATCTCGGTAGCCGCGAGATGGATTTGGACGAACTCGAACACTTTCTGTTCTTTACTCGTAACTCGGGGCATTGATCGTTCGCCAAGCGTAAAAGAGAAAAGTGATATTCAAGCAGGAGAGAAACGTTTTTCTTCGAACGTTGCCGATACAATGATTTTTTTGATAAAAAAAAACGAGGTGCCTCGCGAAGAATCTGAAGGATTGCTTCTCTCGCACGGTTTGGCACGCGATCGAAAAAACCACGAGAAAGAGAGGAACATTTCGTTTACTTTTCCGTCTCCTTTTTTCTCTTCTCTATCTTCCTCTATTTCTCTCTATGTACATATTTTCAATGGGAAAAGCTTGATGAGAAATTCTATGACCGCGATAACGCGCGGCCATAAATGCGGTGCAATGCATTTCCGGCATATCGGTGCTTTACATTAGTAGCGGTTTACATTGGACCCTCGCCCCGTTTTTCTCACTCACGGTTCTCTCGCTTTTTATCTCGTCCATCCTTGTATGTTTTATTTTTGCGCTTTTATGCTTACAGTTTTTGGAACTACTAACTGACATATAGCCGTGCATTTTGTCATGCGATGTATTGTCATCAGTGGCATGAATAATAAATTCAGTGGAAGTTTTTTATGATATGCGCTATTATCCAATTTTTAATTTATTTTTAAACATAAATATAAAAATTGTCATTTTTTCATTACAAGATGTGCAGTCATATATTCGATTGTCGAAAAAAACTTCATCATTTTTTACATTGATTTTATACTGATAAAAAAATGATAGAATATTTATTCTATCAAACATCGTATAATTTGTCTAAGCTAGACATCGTAAAATTTGGCTAGGCTAGACATAATAGCATGTCGAGCTGTTTTGTGTAATAGATGCTGCATTATATATACGAGTAAATATACCTGGAATGTGTGACGCGAAACGCCTTTATTCGAGAAAATCACGAAAGGGATGCGCGCACACTAGTAAGAAGATAGATGTGTTGAATTATGTACTTATTAAATATTCTTTATATTTGTAATATTATAAATATCAAAC